TTACTTGTTAGGCTTACCGTGATGTTGGTATTTTATCCTTTGACTTGATCACAACCTCACAAATCACTTATATTATTTCTAATTAATCTTAGATTCCATTCTAGCTTTACAATCCCTTTCATTGTTGTAAGGGTATGTATAGAATAGTTGATTACCTAAAATAAAAGTCTGATCTCAATCATTAATTTATGAAATAATAGAACGCATGTTCTCTGACTGATCAATTACCAATGGTTTTTATTATTTTTCCAGGGATACTATCCCTAACTCAGGCATGGTCTGAAAAGTATGAAAAATGAAATTTTCGCAAATGCGATCAAAATGATCTTGGTGGTCTAGTTATAGTATTCCGACACCAGACAATGGGTTTTAGCGTTATATAAGCCCTAACGCTTCAGGCTGATCTATTGCGTTTACTACCCTATATATGTGTTGTATGCAGTATAAGCTATATTGTTATGTAGATCTGAAGGTCTCATATAAGACTAGAGGTTCACCATTGATATTGTGGATAGTTCGGCATTACTTTAGCAAGTTTCGATGACTGTTTATGCACAAAATTGTTTTGCTGGTTAATCAGTTTCATTTATACTGATGATTCCTTTTCAGTGTTCTCAAGGGCCATTGTGAGGCATGTTGTCATTGCTAACATTAATGAGTCTGACTTTCGTTTGAGAGGAATAGGCCAACTTTGGCCTGTTCGTACTGTGCATAATTGATTCACGAGATCATTGATCACAATAACTATACATGCGACGGGAATGTGTATATGAATGTTGCGAATAGTCCACCAGGGTGCTTCGTACCTATGTGGTTTCGCTACAGGATTGAGCTGTACTATTCAGATTGTAGCGTTAAAGACTATACGGTTTATGGTTCTCTGGAAACGGGATTGAGCCGTACTTTTCGGGTTGTCACATGAAAGTCTGGATGGTGTCTGGTTCTCCTGAAAACCAATGTAAAATTACCCTGGCCCACAAGGGTATATTATATAACTATAACTAACTAATTATTTTTTCGCAATCCTGATTTTTATTTCCTTCCTTCTTTTAGTAGATGTTCATATGTTTATTATGAAAGTATCGGAATATCTATTCACTTCACTATTCATGTGTAAACATGACGCCACCATCCTCCTATTAGGAAGATACTGAATCCTAACTTCTACCTTATTTACGTTATCCATCAGTTTTAAACGCCTATGATATTATAGCCCTATCTTTTATGCATCAAACAAGTGTGCTTACATGACTGATAACTATTACGTTATGTGCTTAGATAACAATGCTGTATTCCTAAATGGTATCACTTTTGATTAGGCATTTCGTTTACATTATATCTTTCATATGATTAAGAGTTTTGTAAAAATGTATTAATCACGTCTTTTCAAATAGTGCATCGATATGATGATAGAATTAAAATATGGTTGGTCGTTGAGTATGAACAAATAGCCACAGCCTATAGATTATTAAACGGGTGATTTCTCATTCTATCACTGATTTCTACTCCGAATTCCCTGAGTGTGACTGTTTGTCATCGTATTGAATAAAGTGTAGTTCTCTATTCTGGGTTGTGAATCCTGGATCTGATAAAATGTGACTAGTTTTATTAATGTATGGACGTGGTATACTTGAGAGAAAAAAAGAGTCTTAAAATTCATCCGTTAGCAGTCTTTTCACTGAAGGGTATAAGGTTTCAGGATGATTATTATGAGAAGGGGATTTTGTGTAGATTTGAGTAATTAAGTGGTTGAATTCACGAGTCAATTAAAGCTAGACCATCATGGAAAACCTGGAAGCATTGGACAGCTGTTTCATTCTAGTACAGGACTCCTCAGAAGTACGCATCTACGATCCCGCCCACGGGATTCAATGAGTCATTCTGTGTTAAAGTGATGTTTCATTTATACATGTTGCAAATTCGTCCAGAAGTCATATAAATCAGCTACTCATCAAATCTCCACACATGTGAAATTATCTAAGTGAGACTACTTAAATTAATTTTAATAGGTTAGTAGTAAACCGTAATCTATAGAGAGCTTATTTGTTCAACTTTGTGGATTGATACAAAGATGATGTCAAGTCTGTTTAACATTTCCTATCCCTAATCACTTCACTTCAGTTCTTTTGCATATTGTTTTATACTACTTATTTATATTCAGTAAATAGTTGTATTCCCAGCAATCGTTTTACATTTATGTTGTAATTCAAGTTGTCGTGTAATATTCTGAAATATTTACATATACTTATGACGTTTATTGTACTTATCATTTTAATTACTTTATCTGAATCACTGTAGTAGTTGTCCTCAATTTTGTGCATTTTCGATTAACTTTTTCGTTTGAATGAAATGGCTTCCATATTGTTTGTTCTTGGTTCGGGTTTAGCTTGTTGAAATCTGTTATCAAGTTTAGACACAGCTATCAGCTGTCTTTTACACTACCAAAGCCCTTTTTATTTTATACAAAACGAAGCGTTAAACGCCGCAGACACACCACAAATTGAGAAGTATTAGGTTTATCAAAGCGTCAAAGTCATGCATTTGAGATACGCACAAATTGTTGTTTTGTGAACTTCAGTTTTGTGGTTATCTGAATTGGGCGACTTGGACGCTTCTATAGACCTAACAGATGGTTTTATGGGAGTGTTTGTTATTGTCAGCGTGACCCATCTCAATGTTCAATAATTCAATAAATAACAGGACATAGTGTTCAAAGTATAAACCAGACTTTTTGACTTCAGTACTCTGTAATGTCTTGCATCAACATTAGGTTTATATAATTTTCAAACATGACAAAATAGCTACACAACAATCTTAACTTCAATAACTCCCATGAATGACCAAACTAATCTAGCCAATTAGTTCCTAACTCATTCATTGTGAAAAAGAAAGTGATGTGAACAGAGAAAACAAGAAACATTGACAAACTATGGTAGCTATTTTGAGGGATGTTGTTTCATTTAATTCAAAGCTTGTAAAACGGTAACATTATTTTTGTCCCTCGCTCATTCTAAGCTTTCGTTTGATGCATGATTCACTGCCATAAGATTTTCTGTTCCAAAGCTATTGTAATTTAAACGTAATCTTTTGTACTCTATTTTCTATTCTGATTCCCAGCTTGAACATAATTGTATTTTCCTAATTGTTTGAGTGTTTTGGTCTGGTTGGTCATTTATATATTCATGTAACTTTTTACACTATTCTGAATCGGGGAGCGGATCGGAATTGGGAATAAATCGTTGACTTGTCTTCTCTCACTCGTATGCTTTTCAGCCAATCAGGTGATAGACTAGTTTTCTTCTCTTTATCCCAAGCCATTTGTCTCACTTCAAACTCACGCATATAAGCTTCAAAGTTAAGCCATCAGCCTGTTGTGTCAACGTCTTAACCCAGATTAGACAAGTTATCCTCTGTACAAAAACAGGGTAGACAGATCAAGGAGGTAACAGAAAGCTCTTACAGATCAACTAATATTTAATAGATCATTTTTACATTGATTTAAGAATCATTATTTATTTCACTAATAAATTGAGGTTTTAAAGAGATAACCAATAGTAGTATTGGATAGTAGTAATATAAGTAGTATATTATTGTGTGATAAATCAGTATTACCAAATGAGTTGTATTCTATCTAGAATAGAAATTAGTTAATTGATTGTTTGTAAATCTGAAAAAGTGAATAAAAAACAGAATGAGAATAAAACACAAACATAGAATGTCCTGGATTCAGTTTTTTTTAATTAACAATTTCACTATTATCGAAATGGGGGGTTTGTGGAGATTATAGTTAATTAGTGAGCCATTGGATGCAAGCTAATGATATAGAGGTTAAACGTTCGAGTGCGAGATCGAAAGTCCTGAGTTCAAGTCCCGTTTGCATGATCGTGGATGCGTACTGCTGACGAGTCCCACAAGAGGACGAAACAGCCGTCCAGTGCTTCCAGGTATCCCGTGGTGGTCTAGCTTCAAGTGACTCATGATTTCAACTATTGAAGTTACTATAACATCCACAAAAACCCCTTCTGATATGAATCAACATATGCTCACTAATGATTGGTTTCAAGAGGTATTTCCTGGAGTTATAGTGAGAAGTAGCCACCGGTGGAGTTCAACCAGGTCTGTTGTGAGATAGTAACTCACCAATGACAATGGTGGATGTGTCATTCGAATGACAGTCTAACATCAACTGACTCATGATTTCAACTATTGGAATTACTATAATATCCACAAACCCCCTTCTGACACATACATGTAGCAAAGTCACTATTCTACACTGTTAGCTCAGATGAATAACTAAATACATGTTTGAGTTGAGAACATGAAGTTGTATCTATTACGTGTGTTATATCCCGATGAGAATAATGAATGGTAACTGTCCGAATCTATTTCTGGTATAATACCATACGTATATTTTTATTGTATAATTGTTAAGTAACTAAACTACTCATGTTTGTTTTCCTCTAATTACAAGCTTTATTTTGACCTATGAACTATTATTATATGATTTACCATTCTTGAGTTATGCCCAGTATACCAATTACAATCTCCCACATTCATAGTCACTTTTGGCTAAATATTGTACAAATGTTGTTTCCTATTTTATGGCATGATATTGTCTATTTGGTTGGTGTATATAAACCCAGTATGTTTGAAATAGATGATTCATATCACAGAGACTGAGATTTGTGTTCTGAACTTAACGGGTGTGTTTAGGAGGGAACAAGACCGATGAGACTCTAAACTGCTCATACGGGTTTTTATACGTTACTGATCCGGTCGATAAATTACTATTCTCTAATTGGCAGTATCATTACATTATAAATTAATAGGATCACAAATCCACAAGTTATAACAATGTGACAACAAGATACACTGTATAACAACTTAATGAAAGTAACAACATGAATAAAAGAGGTAATCATAAATCAATAAGCCATAGTGATAACTAATAATATTGAATACACTTAATATTGACAGGGATAATTTATTTACCCGATCTTCTAAACTTTCATTGATTGATTAGCTTTTAGTTTTGTACGTTGTTGTTCAACATTATCCATTGAATCAGTTGTGATATTCTCTTGTTTACTGTTTAATTGTAATTCATTAGTTATATTCAACAATCTTTCGTCAGTAACCAATGTAGAAGACTGATTATTTTGTTCAGATATTCTATGATCCATATCATCAGAGGTTATATGTTCCAAAATTTCATGTAGATCATTTGACTCATTGAAGTTATGTAATTCATAATCCATTAATCTTCCTTCTTCTCTTTCAGTAATATTTGAAGAAGAAAAAAGATCAGATACTTCAGTAAATGTTCTTGTTTCATCATCAATTTCTGAGAATTCTCGATCATTATCAGTTTTATTCTTTTCATAATCAATATTAGATTGATTCTCTCCAATGATTGATATATTATTTTCAAGAAGAATTAAAGTATCATCATTTATCGATTGTGTGGTGATTAGTAACTTCTCTTCATTGTTGTTGTTATTCTTGTTGTTGATATATGTAATACCATCTTGAATATGAAATACAAAGTAACCATGTTAAACATACAATTAGGATTAAGATTCTAATGATGAATATCAACTTATGGATAAAAGTACATTCATCTGACGAGTTCCAAATGGAACGAAACGTGTGTTTTTGTTATTTCATTTGAAAAAGTTCTACTACTGTGGTGAATGCTAATAACAAGATTGCTAGTTTGGTAATGTGAACTGATGAGTCCAATATGAGTTGATGTAGTCAACAGTTGAAAACAGAATTTTCAGGAATCTGAAAGTATTTTGAGTTGGAATTACTTGTAAGATCAGAAGAGAAACTATAGGAGGCAGCCTACAACCAGCTTACGTTGTAGCATACACAATAGATGTAAATGAAAGATTGAAGACTAAATGTTCAAATATTACATTGCAATAAATAGATAGAAGTTCTTATTGATGAAGTTTTGTTCTCTGAGCTGGATGGTTTGGTCGTGGAATTTTCATCGTTCTTCTGAACGACATCATCATCAGTGCAAACTTCAGGTAGAAGTGATGTGTTCAAATTTCTCTGTATGTGGTTCACAGCTTGTCCTGTACACCTCGATGTTGATTGGTTCTTGTTGACCTTAAACCTGTCATTGTTTACTTCTTTGTTTTGGTCGTATCTCCAATTGGTTTGATTTTTGTTGCTACGTTTGTGTATAATTTTCCCCAGACTGCTGAAAACATTTGGAGTGGTTGTTGCACAAAAGCCAACAAAATCCTTACAATCAATTATATGCAAACCAAAGGATAAAATGACGAAAGAAGACAAACCAAGTATCATCTACAAAATAAATTGTACCAACTGAGAAAACCACTACATCTGACAAAGCGGATGCCCTCTTCATCTTCGCCTTCATGAACATCAATTAGCGGTCAAATGCCATGACATATCCTCACACATCAATGCACGTGAACAACTGCGGGCATACATTCGACTGGAAAAATGTGGAGATTTTGTATAGAGGCAGTACCAAAAACACCAGAGAATTTCTAGAAGCTTGGCACTAAGGTCAATCAACAATCAACAAGCACACTGAAATCGATTCAATTTACCAACCAATCAGGAAAATTATGCACAAACATAGAAACAAAAATCAAATCTATGGGAGATACAACCAAAACAACGAAGTAAACAGTGACAGGTTTGAGGTCAACAAGAACCAATCAACACTGTGGTGTACGGGACAAGCTGTAAACCACGTGTGGTGAAATTCGAACACATCAGTTCTACCTGAAGTTTGTACTGATGATTATGTCGTTGAGAAGAAAGATGAAATCTCCACGACCAAACCATTCAGCTCAGAGATTGAATTTACATCAAAATCATCTACCTAAGCTGCAACTCTTCTCCAATATCTCAAAACAGAAATTCTTGTCATATAAATAACTTGGAGCATTTTCTCCAAAACTTTGAAACAACAATAGACTGCTGTTCTTCTTCAGTTTAAGACTCCTCAGTAATACTTATTATTGAAGCAGTTCAATAGGAATCAACCGGAAAAGTTTGTGATACTAGTTAATGAATTAATCGTGGATGTGGTCAAAATCCCCTTGTAATTATGAGTTTATCTCTGTAAAATATGCAGTTCTCATTTAAATCTCTTGATTGGCTGTGTAATTCTTACAATTATATTATCATTTAAGTCACAAAAAACTGAGCAATAAATGGTTTATGATGTTTTTAGGTCTCCGGGGCCACACATGCGCTACAACGACGGTATCAGCGAGTTCGAAAATCTGGCCCAGAACGGTTTAGTCAAACTGTTTCATCATCTTCGTGACTTGGATCGGGGCTTACAAGTGTTTCCCGTGAACAAGGAATTCCTGGTAAATGCGAGTCATAAGCTTGATCTGATTACATCCATGCCCTTTGTATACACTGCCTGTCGCTACTACCGACTGAATAGTTTAATGAAATCGTTGAACTGGTGTCGTTGTAGCGGTTTTGCTGCTCAGCTGATTCCGAGAACACTAAACATGATTTACTGTTAATTGCCCTATCATGATTCAATATTAAAGAAAGTTAGTTTAAAGTAAATGTCTTAGTAATATTAAACATACTTTTATTAGATGCAATTTCTTGAGCAAATCTGAAAAAATATTTAAAACAATTGGGAAAATGATAAATGACATTTTAATGTCAAAATCTAACTTAGTATCAGAAGGGGTTTTGTGGAGATTGTAGTAATTTCAACAGTTGAGATCATGAGTCAATTGAAGCCAGACCACCACGGGAAACCTGTAAGCACTGGACGGCTCTTTCGTCCTCTCGTGGGACTCGTCAGCAGACCAGAGACTGGTAGGTCCTGGGTTCGAATCCCGCGAGGCGGAGTCGTAGATGCGCACTGTTGAGAAGTCCCGCAATAGGACGAAACGGCCGTCCAGTGCTTCCATGTTTTCCATGGTGGTCTGGCTTCAATTGACTCATGAATTCAACTAAAAAAATTGGTAAAATCTTTACAAAACTATTTTTTGATAAATATTGAATATTAAGTAGGTGTTCGAAGCTAATTATGCGGAATTTCCGAGGTATATATATATTTTCAGTCTCCTTAGATATTGATTGATCGCCAATTAGATGTTAGCCGTTTGGGAGTCGACATATGAATAATGTTCATTCTCTTCAATACACATTGCCAGCAACCGCAATGTCTACGATTTGGCTCTTTTGTAACTTGTACAATGAAAGGTTGTACACTTCTCAGATACTCACTTGAATAGGTTGTGCGATTAACAGCCATAATGATGTATTAAAACAATGAAGGAAAGAGAAAATCTGTTGAAATACCTAGATGACAGGAACAGGTAGCTCAGATATTCAAACAGGCAGCCATACATCAATGCATTGATCTTGTTCTGATTATCAACAATCAATTTGTGTTGACGTTACCAAAGTACACTTCAAAATGAATATCATCTAATCATCTAGAGATTCTGTGCTATTATTGTTTACTCAATTTTCAGTAGGGGTTTTGTGGAGATTTTGATAATTTTTTAATTGTTGAATTCATGAACCAATTGAAGCTAGGCCACCATGGAAAACCTGAAAGCACTGGACTGCTGTTTCGTCCTAATATAGAACTCCTCAGCAGTGCTCATCCACGATCTCGCCTCGCGAGATTCCAACCCAACACCTATCAGTCTCGTGGGCGAATGTTCAACCTCCAGATCACTGCTAAGGAGTCCCATACTAGGACGAAACGGTTTTCTAGTGCTTCCAGGTTTTCCACGGTTGTCTAGCTTCAACTGACTCATGAATTTAACTATAAAAAAGGTTTATTATATTTATTTAAAATTTATATGATAGTTCTTTTTAGAATCTAATGTACTTCTGAATAGTAATTAACTACTGATTGGATTTCGACGGATCATTTAATATCGCTACTCAACACTGAAACGAAAATTTAAACTGATCATAGATTTGAAGTGTGTCGTGTGGTGTATGCTACTGATGTCGACAGATATAAGTAGTATGCATCATCAATTGATAGTCAAATGCTTGGAGGTAGAAGGTTAAGAAGATCTAAGAGAATAGAACGAGAACAGAAAATGATTTGTATGGAAATGAAGGAACAATGAAGTCTGAGACAATGGATTGACAGTTTGTAAATGAAGTATTAACTGTATGATTCTCAGATTATGTCATTTTGTGTATTCAAATATATTCGATTGTTCACACTTGTGTTCTCGCAACAATACATATGCACAGAATTATATAGGATTGAAATTCAAACATTAAAATCTCATGGTTTATAGCATACTATCAATGGGATCTGGGTATATATAGAAGAATTTAACATGAATGAAATCATTGTTAATTACTCATTTTGAACTGTCCTCATGTGTATGGTGAATAATGACAAGAACAATATGATATTAGATGGTGGTTGGAGGTAGGAGACAGGAAACCCTGGACTCGGGTTTCCTGTCTCCTACCTCCAACCACCATCTAATCTTACAATAGTGCATGCAGTGTCGAGTCACCTAGGTTGGTGACCACATTGCATCATGGTTGATAGCATTCGATCTGCACTAATAATAAGGACTTGACACACATGACATTGGTCACCAACCAGTGATCAATCAATTGTGACAATATGATATTCGTTGATTTTGTTTAGAAGATAGCCAGCAGACAAAGTAAAGGATTCAAATGATGTACATTTAAACGATCAAAGACCCTAATATTGATAACCATTTATCTATTAAAGCATCAGTTGTCAAGAAATTCGTCTGAATGTTGACCTAAAGATTCACTTGGTATTTAGGACTGCAATTGATTAGTCTCTTATTGGCATATGTTCATCCTGTGCAAATCGCCTCAGCATAGCCTTAAGTTTCAAACTTTTAAAGCTAGCAGTGGCGTTTGAAGCGAACTTTATTGGGTTCGAGTCCCTTAGTGAACATCAACTATGATATGCAAATACACCCAGTTGACGAGTCCTAGATAGGACGAAACGTGCGTCAAACTGGATTCCACTGCTAGCCACTGTCCACCGGTGACTTGAAGAGTGGTAAACACCTCGATCATTTAATATCACTGAAGTGTTTTGTCCTTGGTAACCCCTTTATTATTATTGTCAATAGAGAAATTCATTAAGGTCATTGAATTACTTGAAAGAAAGAAAAAAACAATACAAAATTCTATTTTACATACCCTAATAATGTAATCAAATGTTTTCTAGTACTTTGTGTATGATTTTTTGGTATATAAATACTTCCATCAGGACTTTGCATTGCCATTATGTAATGATAATTTAACCAATTATCCGAAGGTACTTTAAGTTTATTTAATAAACTATCTAACAAATCCACTATATCGTTATTTTCTGTTTCCTGAAGAAGAAGAAGAAACAAGAATTAAACATGGTAATAACACTATCAAGAAATATGGATGAAATGATCTTGATTGATAAACTGGTAATAAGAATTATGGAAGATGGTTGAACAATTTCCTGGATTGGTTGATAGGTTAAACACCGTTAGATGCTGACTCAATGGTCTAGAGGTTATTCGTTCGCGCGCGAGACCGAAAGACCTGGGTTCGAATCCTGAGAACGGGATCGTGGATGAGCACTGTTGAGGAGTCTTACAATGGGACAAAACGGCTGTCCAATACTCCCAGGTTTTCAATGGTGGTTTAAAATCAATCAGTTTGTGATCTCAATTAAAAATTTAATAGTCTCTACAACCCTATATTGATAAGAAAGGTGATGGATACTGCTCGGGTGTCCAAACCGAAACAGGTGGTTTACTTAGGTAGCCACACTAGTAGCCTTTAACCCTAAAGGTCTAATCCACAAGTCAGTGGAGTAACGTCAGTAGATGCAGTCACATGGTAGCCTGTGATTAATATTTGCTTCGTACGCCATTTGTTCCCTCAGGATCCTGGAGCCCCTTTGTACCACTGGTTTGTATTCAGGATTTTCCAACTCCCCTGGTTGGACTCTACGTGTCCATCAACCCGGTTAAAGCACCGAATATTCGTTTTTCGTCCACTCAATTTCGTAAATTTTAATAAATTGGAATAAAGATCGAACAAATTGATTTATAATCGAAAGTCTGACTTATGTAATTGAAGTTAGAGGCCGCATTGCTTCGTGTTCACTAAGAGGCATTAGGATTTTACAATCGATTTTGTGCGAAATTATGATCGGAAATCTCTGGAGTTTCTCAATGGAGAACAAAACTAATTATTCACTACGTCTTAGTTTACAATAAACTCTCCTCATACTAAACAAATCTCTACTAATCACCTTATAAACTCTTATATTTATATAAACTTCTTTGATTTTTACAATGATAGCTCTTAAATAGGTGAAGAGTACACAATGTAGCATGAAATATCCTTGAGAATGAATCACATTTAGCGTTTTCATCATGAACTGACATTAGCTAAAATGCCAAAACTCTATTTAGCTAAATGGATGAGTGAAATCCGAGACCTGTTATCGTAAATCTGATTAGTTCTTCCATAAATTGCAGTTTCGTCTAAAATATTTCTGAGCAATGTAAATCCACATAAATTAAACGTGATAATGGGAAAAAGAAGAATCAATATATGAATAAACACTGATGAAGTTAATTGATTATTTCCATAGAAATCCCGCGGGGTGGATGCGCACTGCTGAGGAGTCCCATACTAGGACGAAACGGGCGTCCAGTGCTTCCGGGTTTTCAATGATGATCTAGCTTCAAATGACTCATGATTTCAATCTGTGAAAATTTCTATGGAAATATATCACAAATTACAACCTACGGAAATTATGTAATGTATTTTAAGCTACTATTTATGATTAAGTAGCCTACCGCATACATTAAAAAAATATTAAGATTTATAGGTTTAACCATTGAAAAATATTGAGATTATTAACATGTAAATAAAATAAAAATGAACCGTCACATTAGATCGACAATTTCATAAAGAAATGACTATAGTTATCATGTACTTCACTGAAAGTGACGGATATCCACATCAGTTGATGGACGGTTATTACAAAGTGTTCTACTCGGGCACAGCTCTAGACATCAATGTACTAATCATCATCGATATGTTGGGTCATAAAAGAAGTGAAACTTCTATGAAATCTATGTAATAACATATTTGAGTTGTATATAAAATCATTCAGAAAGTTAATTATTATTGAGTCATTTCACTTGCACCCTTTATATTCCTTAACTAATTTACTACATTAAGGTATGCAACTATATTTTATTTAACTTACGGTATTGTCAAACAATTATATTGATACATTCATTCGAACAACTTCCTAATGTACTTGACCTTAACTACAGTAAACAAATTTTCTGATTTTAAGGTCATTAATGTCGAACAATTCGTATTTAAAAGATGATCCTTCATTAGAAAACACTTCTTCAGTCATATTTTATGATGTGTAGTACCAAAACGTTTTTATCATAAAATCATTATATCCTGACTGAGAATCCTAAAAAACTATATTTTGGACTTCGCAGATGACCTAATCCTCCTATCCCATGCACACGAAGAAATACAGATGAAGACAACTAGTGTAGCATCAACCTCTGCATCAGTAGGCTTCAACATACACAAAGGAAAAGTCAGTCAGTCAGCTACAACGTAGGACCAGGCACATATGTGCGTCGGTCCAGGTTGCCATACCGCATCAGCACAACAAGATGAACATCGGATTCATAGCAGTGGTTATGTCAAAGGTGGTAATATATAGGAGAAAGATTGCATATAGAGATACAATACAAGAAGAAAGAATTGGTTCGTAGAAAGAAAGATATGAAGCGATTTTAATCTCTTAGTTTAAAGGAAGACAGAGACAAAGGAAAAGCAATATCCTCAAAGACAACACGGAGAACACCAACCCAATCACACTTGATGGAGAAACTCTGGATGATGTTGAATCTTTTACGTACTTGGGAAGCATCGTTGATAAACAAGGATGATAAGATGCAGGCATAAAGGCGAGGAATGGCAAAGCGAGGGCAGCATTCCTACAATTGATGTTCATATGAAACTCAAAACAACTGACAATCAACATCAAAATCACAATCTTCAATACGAATATCAAGACAGATCTACTGTACGGAGCTGAAACTTGGAGAACTATCTCAACCATCATCAAAACGGTACAGATATTTATAGAGAGTTGTCTACTCAAGATACTCAATATCCGTTGGCCTGATACCATCAACAACAGCCTTCTGTGTGAGAGATCAAACCAGCTTTCAACTGAAGAGGGAATTCGGAAAAGACGATGGAAATGGATAAGCCATACATTACGGAAATCACCAAACTGTACCAAGAGGCAAGCCCCAACTTGGAATCCTGAAGGAAAGTGGAAAAGCCGAAGGCCAAAGAACACATTACGTCGGGAATGGAAACAGATATGAAAAGGATGAAAAATAACTGGGAAGGATTGCTTACGACAGGGTTGGATGAAGAGTGCTGGTGGGTGGCCTATTCATGCGAAAGTAATATTTTTAGTGATTTGTAAATTTACTAAAATTATGATTAAAATTTCACTCTACTTTCAATGTTTAAATACATTCATTCTATTTGCATACTAAACGATCACTCGTTTATAACCAAAATCATCTTGTGTAGACCATATCGCTAGCTAAATTATACCAACTAAGTCACAATTTGATTACTAAGCTAACTGGCACATAACCGTAGTTCAATGTTATATCCTCGACTTAAACCTTGTTCTAAATGAAACTGGTTACTAAGTTATATATATAATCTGACAAAAACTATTGATTGCGGTGAAGTTCAATTTTCAACAGTTTTCTAGTATCTGAAGGGTTTTTGTGGATATTATAGTAATCTCAATGGTTGAGATTATGAGTCAGTTGAAACTAGACCACTATGGAATACTTGATTTCAAGATGTATATCCTGGAGTTCTAGTGATCAGTGGAGTTCAACAGGGTCTGTTGTGAGATAGTAACTCACTGAAGACAATGGTGGATGTGTCGCCTAATTTCTTGGATTGCTTGAAGTTAGACTTTAACACCATTGGATGCCGACTACCTCAGTGGTTTAGAGGTTAAGCGTTCGCGCACGATATTGATAGGTCCTGAGTTTGAATGTCGCGAGGTGAGATCGTGGATGAACACCGCTGAGGAGTATCACAATCGGACGAAACAGCCATCCAGTGCTTCCAGGTTTTCCATGGTGGTTTAGCTTCAATTGAAAGTTTTCTAGTAATTAGGCTTTAGTACCTAACATCGACCAATATATGTTTGCGAAAGGAGAAGTATACCAATGATTATTTAATTACATAACCTCTTTTACTTTCGATATAAACTTACAGGTACTTCTGTCTTTTGATCTTCAAGTTGAAATGTTGATGCATCACTTTCGGTATCATTTATTTCATGCCTACAAGAAAAATGACATATTATATACTGAGGCCTATTTATTTATTATATGTTGCAACACATAAATAATGGTACAAACGGGCACCAAATAGATATGCGCCACACAGGTCACTTGATTTATGTGAGGGCTGGGATGCTGCACGGGTGTCAGACTGAAGCAAGTATTTTTCTTAGGAGGCCAGAACCGGAGCCTTTGACTTAAAGGCCAAATCAACAAGGCAGTGAAGCAACGTTAGGAGGTGCAGACCCATGATAGCTGGTGACCAACAATTGGTTCATACTCCATTTGTTCCTTCAGAATACTGAAGTCCATGTGCACCATTCGTTTGGAATCAGGGTTTCCCGACTCCCACAAGTGGACCCTCCACATCCACCAACCTAGTTAAAGCGTCGGATATTCGCCTTTTGTCCTCTCAATTTCGTGAACAACATTAATGCCGCGAGAAGACACTTAGTAGGACTTTCTTGGCAGTGGCTGCTCAAGGAACGAATGGCGTATTAACCAATCGTTGGTCACCGGCTGCCATGGGACTGCATCGCCTGATGCTGCTCCACCGCCATGTGAATTAGTGTCGGGGATGATATATTCCCAAAACTCATATTTATAATTTTATCATATCGATCAGCTTATCGATTAAATGTTTAAATACTTGAATGGAAGTCAATTGACGAACTTATCGATTAAATACTTGAATGCCTGTCGATTGATGAACTTATTGATTAATGTTTAAAAACATTTTACTGTAACAATATTGATTAAATATATTGTATATATACGTTTTTATTGTGTTTGTGTGCTCGCTCGTTTTCTGGCTGTTTTACAGAATATATTTTCCATACCAAGCTTGGACTTCTCCTTCTAGGTAGCGGGGTTGAAACGCATCAATAGCTAGATTACTGGCCTTTGGTCACTGAGTCTTGTTCTCGTTCGTAGATTAAGTGAACTCGTGAAGCTTTCAAACCTAAAAATTAGGCCTTTACGTCAGAGGCTCTAGGTGTGGCCCCCTGAGATGAGCATCTACTTCGATCTGGGCACTCAGGTAGTGTCACAGCCTACACACAAATCAAGTGACTTTTGTGATGCTTATGTATTCAATGCCCCATTTGTACCAATATTAATGTGCCCAAATAAATAAATGTATATTATGTATGTTTGATTAGCACAACTTCAGTACTAATCTACAAATGAAAACTTCAAGTTGATGTACAGAATCAATTAAGTATTTACATTATAAGTTTAACCCCCCGAAATAATCCACTTACATAGAATTAGTTAAAATTGGATTGATAGACGACATTGTAAAATTCCAATCTTCATGAAGTATAGAAGCAAATTCAGATCTTAAAATGAAATAGTTTAATGTTGAATACTCATAAAAATCATAAAAATCGAAATATTACGAAGATCAGAAACTAAACATGTATTATAGTATGTGCTACTTATATCGACAGATATAAGTAGTATGTATGATTATCAATTAAAAGTGAGATGTCTGGAAGCAGAATGTTAAGAAGATCAAAGAAAAGAGAACGATAACAGTGAATGATTGGTGTAGAATCGAAAAAACCATGAAGTCTAAGACAATTGGTCAACACTTTGAAAATGAAGTCTTCACTGTATGATTCTCAGATTTTACTAAGTTCTGTAATTTGTGTGTTCAAGTTCATTCGATCGTCCCCCTTTTATGTTCTCGTTCACTACAGTACGGCTGGATAGAAATACAACCTACGTATCAGTGAACTTAAGGAATTTTGTAAGTGAAATGAAATAACACTATGATAATATACCATAAAAGACTATATTATGTCATAGATTAGCTGTACTCAGTGATTTGCTGGATTTAATCTGGATTGAGATTATAAGCCTACACTGATAGAAATAACCATCTAGTATTCCTTACACTTTAATGATACTTAATCTAACTTTACTTCTTCAATAGAATTGTCTTAAAGCCGAATTACTTCGGAAACAATCATTCAAACTTTCTTTGTATATACATAAGAAAAATTTCTACATTATATAAAATATTTGACAAGAGATACTGATCAGTATAGGGTTATGGAGATTATGAAGTTTTTGATTGAGATCATGAATTGATTGATTTTAAACCACCACTGAGAACCTGAAAGTATTGGACGGCCGTTTCATCCTATTGTGGGACTTCTCAACAGTGCACATCCAGGATCCCGTGCTCGGGATTTGAACCTAGGGCCTTTGGTCTCGCGTGAGCACGTTTAATCTCTAGATCAGTGAGCTGGTCGGCATCCGATGATGTTAATTTGTGACCTCAACCAATCCACTAATGGTCTAACATCAATCGGTTCATGATCTCAATCTAAAAGATATTGAACTTACTCAGGAGTGGTTGAAACAAGTTTCTCAGATGTAGTGAAATGCAATCCTTCTTGATAAATAGAAACAGCTTCTTCAAATCTTAAAAATGAGACGTTTTAACAATGATTATCATAAAAACATGTTATACTTCATTGTCGTTGTGAAGATTGAAGATTAAGAACGGAATTCGCGTAATGTGTCTCCATATGTACCCTTATAAGAAATACAGCTAGTGAGCGAATGAAATTGATTGTTTAAATAAAGTGCATATTGGATGCTTATTGATTGCAAGTAGAAATTTTGAGAGTGAAAATGGAACCTATCGATGATATAATAGTATTATTGTGGAAGGTGATCGGATTTGAAACTATGACCTATACGGTTTCAATTTAAATGCTCAATGATGTCCTTACTTTCATTATAGATAGTTGAAAGTAGTGGACAAGAAACTTTTTCAGACCTATTTCTCGTAGTAATTTGCACTCATCATTAAGGTATACCCATGATCTTCAGTAAATTGATGTTTCCGGGTAGATAGAAACCCGAATCACAGCTTCACAATCTAAGACGTTTTCAGTAAATGGCTCGAGCAGCAACTGACATCCTACAGGATTGAGGTATTTAAAATGTTTGGTCACTGAGTGGTTATCAACTACTTTCTTACTACCCGATACAGAAACATAATCCATACAATGTCAAGTCAGTTGAATTCAAACAGGACAAAAAGACTTGATAGACAAAAAAAACCGTGATTACACAATCCATACAAATATGACCTTACGATCGCTGATTTTCGATGATGGTTGCAATAATGTCAATTTAATGACTAAAGGTACTTTGAAATTAAGTAAACCAAGTCTGTACATACACAATAAATTCGTGCTACCCTCACTTTTACTTTGTTCAATAACATATTCCGTTTCCCCTCTTTTGATTTTCCTAATTTTTTTTTGTTCTTATGTAATTACAACATTCACAGCTTCATTCTTATGCAAATACCATATAAGTATCAGACTTCTTATCGAAATTTGATTAATTCTCTTACTTATGTACTTGCGCTTGTTACCCTTAATGGAGCATAGGCCGATGACCAACATTTTTCAACCCACTCTTTCCTGAACCTTCCTTTCTAGTTCTATCCAATTGTTATTCATTTCTGCAGCAACCTGGATGACTCTCCCGGTCTCCCACATTGTACGAACATTCCATGTACTTGAATTAATGGTTACTCTGATTGTTAGAAGAGGCATCAGCCTCATGACTTCCGAATGAACTCAGCTTTTACCATGAAGCATCATAACTCTTCTAAACAAAGACCTTCTAACTCCAAAGGCAGAGTTTAATGGTTTGAATTATTTTATCTGGTTAGCGTTTTTCTAACGAGTTCGTTTTCTACAGGATGAGGTCGCTAACCCTATGCCCAACTCTTCGCCTTTTCCTGGTTCGGGACCGGAAGGCACCGCAGAGAGGCTCTAGAAGGATATTACATAATCTATTAATCTGACAGTAAAATGTTTCAATTCACTATCATTCATTACTAACCACCGGTGAATAGTATAACCAATCTGTTCATCTTCTTGATTACCTCATTAATTATTCGTCAATATTTTCTTTTACATGATTCCAAATTTATGCTTAAGTTCATTATGTATTCATATAGAATAAGCAGCTGTAGATTAGTTGTAAAGCTTTTGAAAAAAATAGTTTAATTGGTTGAGTGTATTCTTCACAGATGATTGAGTAAGTCTTCATTATGAGAACTTGAGTCCCTTGGTTCGGTCACTCTCTAGGTCATGAGTGTGCATTCCTAAAGAGTTATCCATTACTCCCTAGTTTCAATGATATCCTGAACTAGACTATTCTATGATGTATGCAACCTAAACATTTCATATTAGTTAGTAAACATTACCAATATTGAGGTTATTGATGTTAACTGAGCTTATTAAGTCGTATTTCACATGCCTTTTATACATTATACATTCAACAAATAAGATTAGACTTACACAATACCAAATAAAGACAAGTTTCCTGAAATATTGGGATTCCGTTCTTCTCTTTCAGTTGAACCAAAATCTTTAACACTACAAATCAGACATTGTATATGATATATGTAAATGTAATATCCATTTTCTTTAACAGTAAACTGAGTATAATTGCAGTTCATGGACAATCTTTGACAATGCTAATATGATCTTAATGATTGAAAGATGTCTGATAGTTTTTATAAATCAGGAATATTTCTATTACTTGGCATTGTTTACTTATATCTTTTCCATTGTTATTTAGGACTGCAATTGATCAGTCTCTTGTTGGTGTTCTGTGCGGACTACCTTGATATTGCCTGAAGTCATAAGCAGGTGGCTATCAAAACTCAATAGCTAAGTAGATAACTCAATGATGTTTGAAACGAACGGTATTGGATTCAAGTCCTAGAGTGAACATCAACTTTGAGGTTCATGTATATCAGCTGACGAGTCCCAAATAGGACGAAACGCACGTCAAACTGGATTTCATTGCTAGTTACTATCTATCAGGAATAATTTGTTAGAAAAGTAAAGAAACCTGAATAAATATGGTTGTTTACGAATTTTCCATGGACTATTTTCAGTCTTTACTATAGATAGGGAGGAGGGAGGGAGTATCTCTATGTAATAAACAAGTTTATTATTTAGTGAATCACTAAGTGAATATATTTAATAATTGATTTTAAATGAAAGAAAATAAAAAACAAAACTATCTTGGTGATTTATGTGGAGAGACTACAATTTATGGGTGAATCAATCCGGTATAAGATACACAGGTCTTGGATTTTGGCGCGAAATTCACTAATCCATTTGACTAAATGAAGTTCTGTCATTATAGCTGATAAAAACTCTAAATCTAATTCCTAACCTTAATCATCAACTGTAAATCATAATTCGAATTCCTCACACTGGTTTATAACTCTCATTTGGTTCTAGTTATTAGGTGAACACTACGAAGATCACTTTAGCGTCAGTGAAAGGTCGTCCATTAATTATAGTATCACCATTTACGTATTAATACACAATCTTCGAATAAATGTTATATCCATTTTGAGTCAATTGTATTTACTTATTTAAACAGATAAACATGGATGCAAGGAGGCACCAAACAGATATGCACCACATAAATCATTCGATTTGTGTGAGAACTAGGATAATGCCTGGGTGCACAAACTGTTATAACTTATGGCCTTGTGCCCTTAATAATAATATCAGACGATGTGATACCGTCAATTAGAGTACAATAATTTATCAACCGAACCAATGACGCATAGACCTGTACAAGCAGGATAGAATCTCATTAGTCCTTCTTCCTGCCTACACCTGCCTATTAAGTCTAGAACATCAATCTCAGGCTCTGCGATTTATTATTCTTCAGTTATGCTAAGTCTATCAATTACTATCTTCCACATTCACAGCAACATTTGGCTAAATATTGTACAAATGCTGTTTCCTATTTTATGGTATGATGTGTTCTGTTTCGTTTGTATATAAACCCATTATATTCGTAATAAGAGATTCATATCTCAGAGGCTGAGATTTATGTTCTGGATTTAACAGGTAGGGTGAGGTGGGAAGCAGGACCAATAAAGACTCTAGACTGTTCTTACGGGTTTATGCCTCATTGGTCCGGTTGATAAATCACTGTTCTCTCATTGGCGGTATCATTACATTATACATAGATAGAGGCACAAATCCACGGGTTATAACACCATCCAGCTCAGAGAACAAAACTCTGGTGTCATAATAGTAAGTATTACAGTTTATTATAAATATTTACTAAGCTAACAAAATATTTTAAGACTTACTTATAAAATTCAGTGGAATTTTCTATTAGACGATTAACTGGAGTTACAGTTGAATCCGTTTCTCTAAGTTAAATAAAAAGTCATGCAGAATATGCGATACATTAGGAGTCATCTACAATACCAATGAAGGTTTAATCTAATAGGTCCATTAGATTTCATGAATGAATAACATAATTTAGAGAAACATTCATTGAAAGACAAAGAGCAGTAGACAACTGTTTATTTTTATAGTCAAAGATGGATAGTGGTTAGCAATCGAATCCAGTTTGACGCGCATTTCATCCTAGTTGTGACGCCTCAGCTAAATGTATCTGGGTCTCAGACTTGTTGATTTTCACTCTGGGACTCGAGCCTAGTATCGTTGGAAATGTGTGTCCTGGATTCCATTGCTAGCCACTATCCATCTTTGCCTAAAAAGCTTATGACTTAAGACAATATCGAGGCAGTCCGCACAGGATACACAAATGCCAATAAGAGACTGATCAATCGCAGTCCTAAACATCAATGGGAAGATTCAAGCAAACAACACCAATGTTATTGTTGAAGTTTGTTATTTCCTTCATCTTTTTTCCGAAATTCTCGTCACAAATTGTTATGCCCTTAGCTTATACGATTATTGTGAAATATGCGATTGCCAATTTAGATGCTCTGACTTATCGACCGGATCAATGACGTATAAACCTGTACGAGCAGTCTAGAATCTTTATCGGTCCTTCTTCCTGCCTAACCCTGCCTATTGAGTCCAGAACACCGATCTCAGCCTCTGAGATATGACTCATGTATTTCAAACATACTGAGTTTATATACAAGCCAAATGGACCACATCACATCATGAAATAGAAAATAACATTTGTAAAAGATCAAGACAAAAAGTGGCTGTGATTGTCAGAGACTGTAGCTAATAAAGTGGAGATAACTTAAGAATAGTAAATCGTATAATAGTAGTTAACAGGTCAACTAAAAGCTTATCATGAAATAAATATGAATATAAATACATAATATAGTTACTTAATGGTCATATAATAAGAATTTACGTATAACATTAGTCCATAAGTAATTCCTAACGGTTACCATTCATTTATTCACGTCCAGACATTCCTATGCATTGTGAAAACATGCAGAGATGACTATTAAATGCGTCTTGATTTTCAATAGTTTAGTGGTGGACATCAATTAACAACTAACATTATGAATGGAATGAAGTAACTACCACAAATTACACAACCAAAGATATAATGCTAAACAGAGAGTACCTGAATGTAACAACAGTAGTTTCATATGACACAATCTTTCAGATCATAAACGATATTCTGTCAATGGTAAAACTATACTTATAACTTATTCAAACTTAATGGGCCATAAATCGTACTTATCTTGGTAATTATTAACATCGTATATCTATAAACTTGAGAAAATGTCATTATGGTGTATACTACTTATATCGACAGATATAAGTAGTATATAGCATCAACCAAAATTGGGATGGCTTAGCAGTAAAAAGTTAAGAAGATAGAATAGAAGAGAATGAGAACAGAGAATAATTATTATGTAAATACAGGAATAACAAAGTCTGAGACAATTGATAGATATTTTGTCAATGAAGCATTAAACGTAATCTTGATTGGTTGACCCCATTCTTATGTTCGCACTCACCACAATATCATGACCAATAGCCATGAATAATCAGATAGGGGTCTTGTGGATATTATAGTAGGTTAAATAGTTGAGATCATGAGTCGACTGCAGTTAGATCACCATGGAAAACCCGGAGGCACTGGACGGCCTTTTCGTCCTAGCATGATGACAATGGTGGACGTGCGGCGCAATTTCATGGATTGGTTGAAGTTAGACATTAGTACCGTTGGATGCCGATTTAGTGGTCTAAAGGTTATGCGCTGGCACGCGAGACAGATAGGTCCTGGGTTTAAATCTTGCGAGGCGGGATCAAGGATGCGGACTGCTGAGGAATTTCACAATAGGATGAAACGGCCGTCCAGTTCTTTCAGGTTTTCCATGGTGGTAGTCAAGCTTCAATTGACTCATAAACTCAACTATATACGGTCACTGGCAGAATATTCATAAGATATTATTGATTTTTATTAAGTAGATGTATTATAATAATGTGCTTTCTACCAATAACTAGTCTGTTATATAATAGGAAAGTTTCTATTTAGTTAGAAATGATAACATGTTTCACAAACTTACTTATTACCCAGTTCTGATATTGTGATTTCTGTTAAGATTGGATTTCACTTGATAATGGTGAAAAATTAGTTATAAACAGTAAAGTGAATAGATAGTGTAGATAACCCATACTTTTATCTTTCCGATCTAAAAGAAAGAACAATACTTAGTCAACTGAAGTATTTGAATTTATTATTTATTTATTTGAACATATAAATACTGGTACAAAGGGGCAGTGAAGCAACGTTAGGAGATGTAGTCCCATGGTAGCTGGTGACCAACGAGTGGTTCATACGCCATTTGCTCCTTCAGGATACTGGAGCCCATCTGCACCATTGGTTTCGATTCAGGGTTTTCCGACTCTCGTGGGTGGACCCTCCGCATGCACCAACTCAGTTAAAGCGCAGGATATTCGTTCTTCGTCTTCTCAATTTCGTAAACAACAGCAATGCCTTGAGAAGGCAGTGATCAGGACTTCCCTGACAGTGGTTGTATACGTGTGGCCATGTTAGATCATTTCGAAATGGAGAGCTGACTCTCCCTACCTTCGGTCGTACCAGAGCATTTGAGGGTGAAAATGAAATTTTACTTTGAACAGACTTTCATGTATGAAATTATTCACCAGTTCATTGCGTAGTGAAATAAATAATTCATTGTTTCTACTACTACTTAATTGAACAATCTCAATCCACTAATAAATAGCTGTGAAATATCGTTTGAAATAACTCCGCCTAGAGCCCCTCTAAGGCCGCTGCCGGTCTCAAGTCTTGATAAAGGAGGAGAGTTGGGCATGGGGTAGAAAACTAACTCGTTAAAAAACGCTAAACAGAAAAAATAGTTCAAAGCTTTTAAACTCTGCCTTTGGAGTTAGGTCTTTATTTAGAAGAGTTACGACGTATCATGATGAAAGCCGAGTTCCTTTGGAAATCACGAGGCTGATGCCCCTTCTGACAACCAGAGTAACCATTAATTCAAGTACATGGAATGTTCGTACAATGTGGGAGACCGGGAGAGTTATTTAAATTGCTGCAGACTAGTCGACGGCCTATGCTCCATTGGGAGCAACAGGCGTAAGTCAGTAAGTAAGTAACCATTTGAAATCACTTATTCTCCAAATACTATAGTATCATAAATTTTATCACTGAACTTATGATATCTGTTGAATTAATGACTTTAAACAAAGTAAACATAAAAGAGGAAGAATGTTGTGTTTGTGAAAATCTCAGAGAATGAAGATGAGTCTATAGTACCTCATTAACCTACAAATTATACCGTCATGTGTTTTCCACCCACTATCTATACTTATTTTATCATACATTTCATATCGTGTACCTTTTCAAAACTAATATGGAGCTTAAGTTCAACAATCTTTCTCATTCATTGACTAATACTAACTTCTCACATTTTCTGAAAGTTCCATATACCTATAAAAATTTTTGGTCTGGTTGTTAGAAAGGGCATCTGCCTCGTGACTTCCGTATAATCTCGGCTCTCATCCTGAGGCGTCATAATTCTTCCTTCAACTCCCAGGTAAGAGTTTGAATGGTTTAATTTGTTTAATCAAGTTGGCATTTTTTAGCAAGATTGTTTTCCATGAGATGGGATTGCCGACTTCATGCCCAACCCACCTAGTTTACCTAGGCATGGGACGGGCAGTAACTCTAGAAGAGCTACAGGCTTATACTAACACTATATGTTTATGAATACAAATAGTTTCATTGTCACTTAGCTATTCAAACTTACGTTTATCGACATTGTAATTCACTAGAATGACATTAAATTACTTACCACCTAACTTGATAATTACACTACAGATTATCCTTGAAATTTCAACAGAATTAAAACTCGGGTGAGTATTGTATTTATCATGTAGTGTCGGTTATTACGTTAACCTCATATACCTTATTCTAGCTTCTGGATAGTCCAATTTAACCATTAATTCTTGCTTCACATTTTGACCTTGTCGATTATTCGCTTATCAATCTTGACTGTTTTCATATGAGCGTATGTGTGTGCACTTATCTTATCCATCACATGTCTGCAACTTATTTTTATCTGGCTAAATGAGAGATGGCTCACATGTGTTCTCCACCGTGTATTATTTCGCTTCGTTCCCTTCTATTCGCTTCATTCCTCTCATTTCCTGTTAAAGATCAGTGAGTGTACAAAATATATGTATTCAAAACATCTATGCTCGTATCCGACTTATTTAATTCCGTTGTTCACCAACACGATCTAAGTCAATAATTATATACAAAGAATGACGACATGTATATCTCGATAACAATCAGAAAAGATCTCACTGGAATCAGATCCCAGGCCACTAACGTGGTGAGCCTGTCGATAACATCGTGTGGTCTGATAGGTGTCAAAATGAAGGGCCACTAAAATCAATTTCTTCTCTTGTAATAATCCAAAAATTCAGATGAAACTCATTACGGTAAAATGTCTACATTTTTCCCTCTTCTTAATTCCACTATTCATTTCAATCTTAGTATGTTTTCAAAAGTAAATTTTGCTTCAATACATTATAAAACAGTGAGAAAACTATTTTTTAATAATTTAATTCAAGAGTCGATGTAAGCTAGATCACCATTGAAAACCAGGGAGCACTGGATGTTAGAGACAGATATCTATCTCACACAATAGATGAATGATTGAGCAATCATTCATGGATCGATTGAAGTTAGACATTAACACCATTTGATGCTAGATCAGTAGTCTAGAGGTTGGTGTTCGCGGACGAGACCAAAGGTCCCGGGTTCGAATCTTGAGTGTGTGAGCAATGTTGACAAGTCCCATACTAGTACGAAACGGCCGGCCACTACTTTCCAGGTTTTCAATAGTGGTCTAACCTCAACTGAATCATGAATTTAACTATTAAAATTCCTACAATCTCCACAAACCTATTCTGATCAAAACTATATTTATCATTGAAAACTATGGGTATTTCAATAGTATGAAGTACTATTCATGTCTTACCGTGTCATGTAGAGCAAATGTTAATAATAGAAAGTTATGTAACTTCTATAGAAAGAAGAACATTATTCGACTAGTTTTACACACTTTTTACTCACTGCTTAAAGATTCCTCGCAGAATGAAGCCCTTGAAATGTCATATCTATTTAGATAAATGTACCATAAAATTACACATTTATCCAAAAAAAGTCCTATCAAATGAACCTAGTGTAACTTAAAAAACATACCATCCAAGAAATTGAAAACGTCTAGTCAATAACACGTAATAAACATTCCATACGGATGGTCAAATTAGTTTTTTATTCCAATATATACATCCAAACAGCTTAAAAGTATTTGTTATGAACTATACTAGTAGCATAGGGAAAGATGAATATCGGCTAGCAGTGAATACAGGTACATCCAGCTGACGAGTCCTAAATAGGACGAAACACGCGTCAAACTGGATTCCACTGCTAGCCACTATCCATCTTTGCTTATAATGCTTGTGACTTAATACAATATCGAGTCAGTCCGCACGGGATGCACATATGCCAACATGAGACTGATCGATTGCAGTCCTAAATAACAATGGGAAGATACAAGTAAAGAACACTGAGTGAATTTATACTAGTAGTGTTTATTACGTATTCCTTTTAAGTTTCCTACAAAAGTACATTTTATAATTATAAGAATTAGAGAAGATTTCACTTAAAAAAGTCCTTTTATTCATATCAAAAAGCTTGAAAGGGGTTTTGCGGAGATTCGAATAGTGTAATAGTTGGATTTACGGGTCAATTGAAGCTAGACCATCATGGAAGACCTGGAAGCACTGGGCGGCCGTTTCATCATCATGTGGAACTCCTCAGCATTGCGCATCCACGATCCCGCCCGCGAGCTTTGATCTAGGGACCTATTGGTTTGAGGTGCGGATGCTTAACCTCTATATCACTGAGCCGGCCGGCATCCAGCGGTGCAAATGTCTAACATCAATCAATTCAAGAAATTGAGCGACACATCCACCATTGTCATCAGTGAGTTACTATCTCACAACAGACGTGGTTGAACTCCACTGGTCACTCTTTCTCACTGTAACTCCAGGAAATACCTCTCGGAGACCGTCACTAGTGAGCATATGATGATTATGATCAGAGAGGGGGTTTTCTGGATATTATATTATTTTTAATAGTTGAGATCATGAGTCAGTTAAAGCTAGACCAACATAGAAAACCTAGAAGAACTAGATGACCGTTTCATCCTAGCATAGGACTCCTCGACAATGCTCATCGAAGATCCTGACGCGCAGGATTCAAACCCAAGACCTATCGGTCTCGCACGTGAACAATTAACCAAAAAATTAAGTCAATAGAAAATACAACCAAAATAGACAAACTAATCAATCAACGTCGGGATCTACAGAACAATCTGTGATCGATATGTAGAGTAAGAATTTCGAACAATTCACTTCTACTTGAAGTTTATGCTATTGATATCATCCGGAAGAACGATTAAACCATCCAGTTCAAAGAATAAAACCTCACCTAAACACACTCAACTCAGATGATAAACAATGATATCCTCTAAAACAATCCACAATTCATTTCACTTACATGAATCAAAATGACTATTATAAATAAATAAATAATGAGAAATTTATAATTTATTTATATCAGACTAAACTGTTGTATCCAAGTGTTTCATTGGTTGAATCATTTTTTTTTATTTTTTCTTTCATTTTTTAATTATGGTTGTAATTAAAACAACAGCAACAACAACAAAAATTACAAAAAAAATATTTTTTTCGAAAAAAAAACAAAAAATTTTTCACATCACAAAAAACATTTTGTACCTTGTAGAACGTTTTATTTATTTATTTTTTTTCCATAAATCGATTAAGTGAATGAGAATATTTTTAATATACGATATTGGGTGGGGGGACGGGAGGTTGGAAGGGGTGTTTTGTGTCGTTGTTTTTTTTGTTTCTTTCTTTCTATTTTCGTTTGTTTTTTTTTCGGTGTTGCTGGGTTTATTTATTTTTTTTTTGGTTTTACATTTTTTGTTTAGTCAGTTTATAAAAATTAGTTTTATTTTTCTTAATTAGAGAATAAAATTCTAAATCAAACTAACATGAAATTTCATTTATACAGAGTGTAATTATGTATAGAAATGAAATAGGTTTAAATGTAATTTAATATCTATATTGTAGTATAAATTAGTTTAGTTTGTTTTATCTGAGAAAATTCATGAATTAGTTAAAGTTAAATTGAAATGGAAAACTTGAAAGTAATGAAGAACTGTTTTTTTTTTTGTACGAGTCGTCAGTAATGTGCATTCATGATTCTACATGCGGGATTTGAATCCACGACGTCTCGGTCTTACAAGTGAATGGCTATGGTGTAGACTACTGAACTGGCATTCAACCGTCAACTAATGTCTTCAATGTGTAATTACAGCACATCAGATACGGTTCAACTCTACTGGTCACAGCATCATACTACAATTTCACTAAATCCATCTTTAAGTCAGTCACTATTGAGCACATGGTAATTATTACTAGTATAGGGTTGCGGACATTGTTGAGTTTAGATTGATATATTAAATGGTGGATCAGCATTTAAAATCTGAAAGAAGTGAAGGACCGTTTCTTCCCAGTGTGAAACTCGTCAGCAGTGTGCATTCACGATCCCAAATGCGGGACTTGAATCCAGGACCTATTGGTCTAGTGCGTAAACACTTGACCTCTAGACCATTGAGTTAGTATCCAGTGGTGTTATTGTCTAACTTCAGTCGATTCATGATATTGCTCGAACATCAACCATTGTCTTTAATGAGTAACTGCATCTACAGATACAGCTGAAACGACCATCCAGTGCTTTCAGGTTTTCCATAATGGTCTAGCTTTAATCGATTTTTGTGAATTTTAACAAAATGTAATCACCAATTTACTAATTTATTTATGGTTATCAATCTTTATAAATAAAATGACATTTTTACAAGATACTTATAAGGTATGAAACTTACTTTCTATAATGTAAACTAGTGACTGAAAGGAATATACAGTTCAATTAAAACGTTACACTTGAATGGATTCTTGCTGTTATTGTTTCATTACTAGTTATCTTCGTCAGAAGAATACCGATTTGTGATTTTCACTGATTAATCACTTAATACTAACCATTACTATATTGTCTAACTTTCAATACTGATCAAATCGTATTGATCAATGTGTGATGTAACTACTAGTGGCTCAAAGATTAGTACACTTTTGTTAATATAAGGTAGCTGGACACTATCAGTTAGTAGGAAGCTATTCGTTCCATGTCACTGAAACTAGTAACCAAATTTCAACGTGATCTATAAAATTCAATTCGTTCGAAGTGATAGATATTATGAAAAATGTCTAGTAATTTAATAATTGAATTCATGAGTCAATTGAAGCTAGACCATCATGGAAAACCTGGAAGCATTGGATGGCCGTTTCATCCTGATACCAGACTCCTCAGCAGTGTGCATCCACGATTCCGCCGCGCGAGAATCGAACCCAAGACCTGTCAGTCCTTGTATTCAGTACATTAATATTAAAATCATTTAGTTGTGCAATAGATTTGGATTTATTAAAACTATTTATGTCATAACTACTATTTCATAATCTTTGTAACAAATGATATTCATGTTCTGAGTTTCACTGTATTGTTTATCGATTACATGAATTACAAATGTACACTGATATTAGGTTCTACAGTAGTATTTTAGCAAATAAGACATGTGTTACTGTTACATAATTATTGAGTGTTCAATGAGAAAAGTGTTAAGTTTCTTTTCCATAGTTTTTCAATTTGTTCAACAAATGATACTTCATGATTATTAGGAAACTGTTTTTTCTTTATTGGTAATAGCACAAAAGTGTTCTTCTATTTATCTGTTACTTTTCTATGATTTTCCTAATGTCTCATGTTGTACTTCACATAATTATTCAATGATAGTGACCAAAAACATATGTGTTATATATTATAAGTGGACTGTAGTAATATATGTGCGGTAGAATGTAGTATCTAAGTTGAATGAACTAAATGTATCAGTAGTGTCATTCAACCTTTGGAATAGTGTAGGATATTGTCACTGAACCCTTTGGACGAGGATTGGTGCTCTTGCTTATGTCTCAGGATTAAAGGCGGATATTGTTAATGTTCATCTAACTTTAGTAGAACTGACGACCCTGGAAGTTTGAATGTGCTAATCGCCATTCTTTATCTAATTATAATTCCATCGTAGTTGATCGTTATCTTTCCATTTGAGATCGTGGGGGGATACTCTGGAAAGCAAAAGAAGCTTCTTTCTATTAGTGAAAACTGGAGACGATCCATTACTCAAATCACTAGAAAGTATAAACGTTGTCCTTGATAGTTATTAGCAAGATCTGATATGGAGAGATGTCTATCAGATACGTCAAAAAAATTCTCTTCTTTATAAAACTAATACTCACATACAGACCTCACGGCCTCAAAACATCGAACCTAACAGAAAATGTAAGAACGTCCTCTTTGTAGTATCGTTCAATTACATATCTCTAACTGTCATAAAAACGGTAGGCATAATCAGACACCGTATGTTCGATCTACTAAACTGAATAGAAACAGTAAAATGATAGCCTAAAACACTCGTCGTGACTCACATTTATCACGAGAACACGACTGGTTTAATAAAAACAATTATTATTATAACCAACTGTACCAGTGTTTATTTTAATGTGCTTTTGTTTGACTGTGCTAATGACAGCTATATTTTGCTTCCATTCTATATACACACACTTTGATTGTAACTTCGCGCGAATTCGGTTACGTTCTGTAACCAAGCTTGTATTCTGGCACGATCTCGGTATCCTTTCGATGCCACGAGATCGCCAGCGAATACATCTCGATTTGGTCCATTAACTGTCTTCTGATATTTGGCTTCTCGGGGATTTTATGGATTTATTTGGTTACGTCCAACCCTCGCCTTCTGATTTATTTGGCACGTGTTTCTTTGTAGCGGT